GAAAATCGCTTCCTGTCTCGTAAATTGCGACCAAAGTCAAAAAAATTGAATTTTTGGGCGTAAATTTCCGTGGGTCCGTTTGTGTTACGGAAATTTACGCCCCGAAAAATTTCCTGATGATGATGAACTTGAAAAGATATTGGAATAAATTGGATGAAAGGTTTGGTTTCCTTTCTAAAATAATTGAATCAGTAATGCCTTCTAAAATAATGGAACAACAGTCTTACCTTCAGGGAAGGACTATAAACTCCTTAAAAGAACCATTAAGTCACTCTACTGGTTTAACCTCAAGGGAACTAGGAACCACTGGTGACAACATATTGAGTTTTTTACAGAAGATTATTAGAGGATCCAGTACAGTTAAAAGATATCACAAACTTTTACTTGGCAATTGCTAAACTTAAAAAAAGTTATGTATGAAAAGATAAAGTCAACCTATTGCTCCAATATGGTATATCTCAAATTGAAAGATTTAAAAATCTCAGATGTATTGACTAGTGTGATTCTACACTTATATCCAGATATACGTACTCTCATTCTTGATTGAAGTGATGGTTTTTCTAATATACCGATTATAAAATTACAAGATTTTCTTCAAAACTATAGTATCTAAGTCTTAATTTATATATATGTCTCACTAATCAATATATTACCAAAATTGCTTGCTTATGTTCAAAACTTAGACATCTTGAGCTTGGTAATTATTCAATTGGTAATGAAACTGTACTAATTTGAAATATCTTAGTTTGAAGGGATGTAAAGGGATTAGTAAAGAAGTAATAAAAAAACTTAATCCTAAAATTAAAATCAAATATCCTGATTATTCAGATAATAAATGATCCAGTTCTTATTCACTTCTATATATTTTACTCTTTAGAGGTCTATCATTAGATAGAACAGATTTTATTTTTGCAATTAATAATATATTAGAGAGACTGGCCTGATTATTCCTAATTATTCATTATGGATTACAAATAATTATATTTAGTAGCAAAGAATAGATAATTATTTATTAGTTATTTTTTCTGACTAAAAATATATTGTATGATATAAACTTTATTTTAAAATGATATATGTGAAATGTAAAATACATGAAAAGTGACATGAGTCTTATCTAGCTAAAGCATTAATTGATACATCATCAGATGATAATAAAATTAACAAAAATATAGTTAATAAACTTGAAATAAAATATGGGGACCCACCTAAATATATAAAAAGAAAATTAATAATACCGTGAATATTGTTTTATGTCTTGACCTGTCCTTTCAATTTGAGAAGTGAACTGAATTAATTGATAATGATGAAATCTTAAACAATTTTGTAGTTTGCAAAGAACTTAAAACTGATCTTGTATTAGTAAGACCATGGTTATGGTTATGTGAAACCTAAATTGATTTATACACTGAAAAGCTTTCAATATATGATAGTATTGTACTATTCTGTAAGAATCTGAAGTCAGTTTATATTTCATCTGATAATTCAAAAAGTAATATATCTAATTTCCACAAGTCTCCACATTCTAATGAGTACCAAAAGAAGAACAAGTGTGAGAAAGGTAAAGTCTCACAAAGTGAATCTAAATTCAATCATTCAAAAATGGAAAGTATTAAAAATCAATTGACTAATACTAAATTATATACTCCAATTATGATTGATGAAATAAGATATCATATAAATTATATTTATTCCAGATTAAGGGCAGTTGAGTCTGAGCTAGGAGATAGAAAGACAGATATAAGTGTGAATTATCTGAATTTGAATTTGATTCAAAAAATTCTTTCACATTTAGTTCAGAACCAAAAAATAAACATGTATATAAAACTGTGGCTGTAATACATCTGAAGTGTAACAGTTTTGTTGTCACATCCTCTACATAGTTTATATTTACTTTATTTTATTTCTATTTTATTATTTATATTTCTATCTTTGTATTTTGATAATGAATGATAGCACATATGATTAGCTTTGATATATAATAGATTTGCAATCTCATGTGTTAATCATTTATCTTATTTTATTTTATTTCTTTTATTATATTTATTTATTATATTATCATATGTAACTATCCAAATTGGTCTTGTAAGACCTAAGATATTATTTATTATATATTTAT